TCATTTTCGGTAATTGATCCTCTGTGTGCGTGTGTATTTTCTGTGTGTGTGTAAAGCTGTGTTTCCTTTGATCAGGTGGTTGGCTTTTGTGAACAATCGGTGAATGTTGATCGTGGGAATCGTTTATTCATCGTGACAACCGGTGATTAATATTAAAGGTCCATTATGCGATGGTTTCGCCGGTGACAATCCGCTAATTGTCTGTTGTATGACCGATGCATGCGCGTGCACGTGGTTAACCAACAGCCAGAACGATTTTTATCACGTCCAAACCGATGTTTGTCTACACGAGCAATGTATTATTATTATTTGAAAAAACTGTGTGTATTATATTGCTACTTTGAACGATCTCGACGAGTTAAAATGAAAATTCTCAGCCTGGTTCTTTCCCCAGGCTGAAACTTTTCCAACGAAAGTTTCGCCTTTTGTATACGAATAGCGGTGATTAGAGAGCAACTGTTCCCTACTAACGGCGTATAACCTAAAATGTGAAACGACGCGGCCATCTTGGAAAGTTCGAAGTATCGTGAACAGAGTATCGCTGTGTGTTCTTTATGTTGCATCGAATGTTCGTCGAGAGTATATTGTTGGAGGAAATGGTTTAACAGGAGATGGAGAAAGGAGGCTTGTCTAGAGATCACGAAGGAAAAAGGAAGTTTGTTAATTTTGGGGGATTTTTTCTTTTTTCTCGGGATTTCTTTTATTTATGGTATCGTTGGTGGTGGTTTGTTTTTTTTAGCGGCTACCACGCCGAAGGATTGCAGCCCGACGTTGTCGCCGCTGAACGCGTTCTCCAGGTCCATGGACAATTCCTCGCTATCAAGATCGGTGGAACAGTTGTCGAGCCCGTTGGAATCTGAGCCGAGAAGAAATAAGCAGAACACACCTGTCGCAGCACCTGCCGCGCACTCGCGCTCCTCCGCAACCCGTGGAGGCACTTGGGGCTCTATTTCTAGGTGAGGATTTCGTTTAAGTTTCTAAGACTACGTTGAGGAACGTTGTTCCAAGTGGTTTTCGATTTTAGGGTTTAGGTTGAATTTTTTAGTCGGTAAGAATGAGAATTTTCGATCCTATTTTTAATTTTGAAATTAATTTTGTTAAGTGGTTGTTGATTTTAGGGTTTAAATGGGTAAGGTTAGATTTTTTAGTCGAGAGAAATGAGAAATTTCGATATTTTTTATTTTGGGATTAATTGAGTTTCAAGGGTGATCTCGAGATGTTAATTGACGAATTTTGTTAGAATTTGGAGCGAACTTTCTTAGAAGCCTTACCCGATTCTTGACGAAGTCATTTTTTTAAATTTCCAACTGTTATTGTAGATCTTCACAAATTTTTTAACGCGCTACGTGTCTGTCATTGGTGACGACAGAGTAACGAAATAATTGTTGGATTATTTGGAACCTTAGTGCTTCCACAGAAGTGTCTAGCATCTTCTTAGCTGAAAGACAGTTTCCTCACGTCGATTTTCAGAGTGTTCGCACGTACGCGACATCGAAAGCCGGCGAACAACTCGAGCGGCGGGAGCGGAAGTAACGAGGGCTCGGATGGCTTCGATCCCTATAGGTCATGGTCTCCACTGACGGAAGAAGGCTACGCTGAGAAGCTTCGTTTGCTTAGAGAAGCCGCATCCGTGCCTATGGAACGATGGAGAGCACCTACTGTGCTGGCATGGTTAGAAGTTGCCCTTGGAATGCCTCAGTATGGTCCACGATGCGCTGAAAATGTGAAATCTGGAAAGGTGAATCACTCAAACAGACCTTTCCATTTTTTTTAACAATTTTTATTGTACGAACAGCAAGAGTGTGATACATAAATTAGGAATCAGTTAGTTTAGCTGGAAACTTAGATCTAGAGTTTCTTGAGGTCTTCAACTCCTGAGATCTATATTCTTGAGATCTATATTTCTGAGATCTATACTCTCGAGATCTATATTTCGGAGATCTATACTCTCGAGATCTATATTTCTGAGATCTATATTTCTGAAATCTATACTCTCGAGATCCATACTCTCGAGATCTATATTCTCGAGATCTACACTCAGTTGTAATTGAAGAGATTTCTAGATTTGAGAAAATTCCAATTTTAACGTAGCAATTGTTGGTCAGGTGTTGCTAGAGCTAAGCGACGCAGAATTGGAAGCAGGACTGGGAGTGACACACCCTCTTCACCGGAAGAAGCTGTGTCTAGCCATCGAGGAGCATCGACATCCAAGTCGCGTTCGATATCCTTGCATTGCTCAACTAGGTCACACTTGGGTCAGTTCAGAATGGTTGCCTGACCTTGGACTCGCGCAATATTCCGAAAGTTTCGCCACTAATATGGTAGACGCACGGATGCTCGATCATTTAAGCAAGAAGGAACTGGAGAAGCTGCTTGGTGTCACCAGGAAGTTCCATCAAGCTAGCATCGTGCATGGTATTCATCTTCTGCGAATGTTGAACTACGATCGTCAGGTAAAAAAACAAGAAGATTCAAGTGGAAACTCAAGAATAGCAATTTTTTTTCTTTTTATTACATTATCAATTCTATCGTCACAACAGGCACTTGCTGTTAGAAGACACCAGTGCGAGCAAGTGGACACGGATCCTTTAGTTTGGACGAATCAGAGGTTCATTCGGTGGGCGAGGAACATCGATCTGACTGAATATGCTGAGAATTTGAAAGGTATTCAAGCTGAAAACCAATTTTTATATCTTTTACTAGAACAAGAAGAAAATCCAATTTTATATAAACTCATACATAACTAAATTAAATTTACAATAAAAATTGTAGGAGGAGATAATCTTGAATAAATAAAAATCACACAAATATTTTATTTCAGCACATTAATAATAAATCATTTATATTTGTAATATTAAATGTATCATCGAGTAAATAACAATACCAATACTTTTTCTATGTCTCAATAAAATTTCCCAGTTAAAAATGCCATATTTCATTTATAATACAGATTCAGGTGTGCATGGCGCTCTCGTCGTGCTAGAGCCATCCTTCACCGGCGACACTATGGCCACAGCCCTGGGTATACCTCCAGCGAAGCACATGATCAGACGGCACCTCACCGCCGAACTGGAAGCACTCGTCGTTCCAGCAAGGTACTCAGTCTACTATCATCCAGAGGCGACATTGGACAACGCTCACTAATCGACATAAACGTCGTTCCTCGTTCAATTCAACGAGATCGACGTTCGACAAACACGATTTCATCATTCGTCTTCGAGCTCTCTCTCATTTCAGTTAACTTTTATAGCTCGAAAGGAAGTATTCTGTATAGCATTAATACGTTCCGTGAAGAAAAAACTATGAATTTTCGAAGAGCTTCGAAACGAAAGTAAAAAAGAAATCTACTTAGAAAAATTATCGACACGGAACATGTTAATCTTTACGATGAAAAGAGAAAAAAGTACTAATAATAATAAAGAACCTCACTGCCGGTAATTTCTCTGACAGATATAATAATCCATTGAAGATTCTTTTTGGCAGTGGAAATTCAAATATATCAATTATAGAACGAGATTCGCGTAGAGAAATTTTTGAGATGCTGCTGCGGTGCTCTCTCTTTTTGAAAATACTCGAGCAAAAATTGTTCCACGGTGGATCGAACGACCCAAATGCAGACGATCTTTGACCGATTAGTATCACGGCTTATCAGTATATTTTAGGGAAAATATCGCTTGGTAGGCGAGACACGCATCGATCGAACGGTAACGAGAAAGAAAAGAAAAATCGTTTTCTAACCGTGTTCTATTTAAAAAAGCTACTTTTAGGAATTATCGCTGAAATATTGTCAATTATTCTACACGGAAGAGTTCACGTCACACACGTTTGTACGCATATTGACGATCAGAAGAAGAAAAAAAAGAAGGGGGCTTGTGAACGTTCGTTCTAAAATTTTACCAGTTAGAAAACCTTCGCGAGTTATAACGTTCAACGATACGCATTTGCAGACTAATGTTAGCTTTAAAAAAAAAGCGTTGTTACTAATTATTATTACGAAGTAAACTTGATAGGCCTCACTTTTTCAGGGTTTCTACTTTTTAGTCTTTCGTAAACGAAGTCATGATTCGTTGATCGTTCGCGTGTTACAGTTCAAACCGTATAATATAATATCTCTCAGATCTCTCGAGGATGATTGTAAATAGTGAAACGAAACGGGCGAGCTTAAAACGAAAAAAAAGAAGTAATTCGCACAGATATTACTAAATAGGATCGACATCAAAATAATTCACGCTTCCGTTGAAGCATTCTTTTTTATCGGATAAAAGCATATATAAATCACTGTCGAACGGAAATTTTGTAAATAATCGAGAATTCGAACAAATTCGATCGTGCAGAGAGAAAGAAAAAAAAAAAAGTAGAATTAAGATTGCCGTTCTACCGCTGAAATATATATTGGGAAACTTTATGGAACGAAATTCGACTTACTCGCGCGCAAAACAGGGTAATTCCAAAAATTAGAATAGAATCTTTTGTCCTAGTTTCTGGAAGTGTCCTGCATAGCCTAGAGAGTAATAAGGTATGGTAACGAGTCATTTCGACAGACTGACATATTCGGACATCATACATATCATAAAGACCTTAGGGAATCCAAAATACGGAGACGAGCACTGACATTACGATGGTGAAAACACACACACGATAAGATAAAGAGAAAAGAGCTATAAAGAGGTAAATGTGCACGCCAGTTCAAGCAATTTCGATTCACTTGGTGGATTATAGCCTGTTAAAATAACGAAGAGTCGAGATCGTTTGAACTGGCCTGTTAGTATGTAAGTACTCATCCCGTAATACACACGCCATACTTGGATATATCGGGAATACACACACGTATATACAGTACAGTACAATCTCGACATAATGTACATATACAAACATGCAGTATACTCGATGGAAAATATTATTATTATTATGATTATGATTATCGATAACATTGTACTCGGCACCGCAGCGATTCGCTGGGTCTGCAGTCCACTCGATCGCGGATCCATCGGTAATGTCTCTCATAGCTGAGCCGTAGCCCACAGCTGCTGCCTGCACTGCACTGCGCTATGTACAGCACACGTTAATATTAGTAATTCTGGTGTAATCCGTGTCTAGTATTTAATACTCGTACAATGGAAGCTGCTGTATGCTATTAAATTTGATTCGATAATCTGATCTTTGTTAAAATTATACCGATACGTTTATTTTCTGTTTAACACCGTTGAAAGAGGAAATTGTTTAAAGAAGTTATATTCTTTGTAATCGTTCTTTGGTGAAAAGGACGAGTTCTAACTTCAGTTCTCGTTCTTTTTTTTTTTTGTTTAAGTGGAAAGAAATTGAAGATTGAAGTGAGATAAATTTATCGAGGAATTTGTAATCATGGATTACACCAGTAATGCATTATGGTTCCTTTAATCTTTTTCTGATTTGCAAACTTTGATATTTACATTTTTTACTGTTCGGTGTTTTATTCCAATCGACTGACCAACCTTCTCTTCGACGCGCCTCGGTCGTTCCATTGTGAACGACCCTGCGCGTACTCCAGTAAACATATATTCTTCTATATCGATGGTGCACAAAATGCTTGTGTATGTATATTTATGTTGTAACTAGATATTCATTATGATACATATATATATCTCGTTCTATTGTCGAGCACTTGCAGCGAGCCACTGTTCAATTGCCAAATACCTATTATCAATCACATATTTTGTGTGCCAAGACCAGAATAACTTCACGTGCACCTGAATTGTACCTCGACCCTTTTTGCACCATTCAAATTCCAAATCCCCATTCACGCATTTAATTTCGGAAGGCGGATGATTCTTATTGTTATCGATATTTATTTTATGAATTTCTTAAACATAAACAAGTGACTTCTGGTCAGAACAGACCCAGGCACCGCCGTGCGAGGGTTAACAAGTACGAGAACTTCTTTACCAACAAATGAAACTCCTATGTCTCAGAAATCTGTCCCATCAGTAGCACTATGCAAACCAAAAATTCTACCGGGTGTCGCACGTTCATTATCTGCGCCATTCAGTAGAATAGTGAAACGATCCCCGATACACTTCCCCAAAGAATTCACCTTAAATATATAGCTTCACGCCCGTTCGATAATCACCGAGAAAATAGCAAAAACATGTCTAAATTAAAAAAAATTGGGAGAGAGGTTCGCTGCAAAACGTGCCGAACGTGTGTGTGTCCGCGGTGTCACCAAGGTGTGCGCATATAAGCGGTTGAGGAATGCGTGCGTCGCAGAAAGGCGTGCATGAAGCGTGGTGTGCGTGTGCGTAGAAGTCAGCTGGAGGTGGTCCCGAGGAACAGCACCGGCGGGAGTCGTCCGATGAGCACAGTGAGCACAGGCGGTAGCCTCGGTCGAGGAAGCAGAGCGCTGCACCTTCAACACCACCAGAGCTCCCTCTCGGCCCTCCACATGACTGCCAATCATTCTGGAACGGTTGATAGACGCAGATCCAGCCTCAGGGTAACGTACCGTATAGATTCAAAGACACCTGGTCCATTCACGACTGCACCGGGAACTCGGTGGTATTTTTATCGTATCTTGTCCGTATTCCTCCTCGAGCTGGTGCAGGCCACGATACACAATCTTGGCAGATCGCTCCTTATCCTCTCGGTATTTAAAACGTTCAATGACTTGTGAGAAAAATGAAACGTCACTGACCACCATCCACGTGCTCGCGTTGCTTGCGACAGGACAGTGACGTAACCGAGTGCGCGTGAGCGAGACGTTGTAAAATACGATTCTCTTCGAACGACGATATCTCGGCAACCGGAAGTTAGATCGAGACGAAACAAAGATCATTTTAAAGGGGAAGGTTTCTAGTTTCGTACAGTATCGATTTTAGTCAGATAACGTTGGGATTTTCAGAGTGTTTAACGTTCAAAGTTTAGATAATTTTAACGTTGTTCTGTAAGGTACCATGCGGTATTACACCACTTGTTGCGCATCACAGCGTTGTTACATAATCGTCAGAAGTAAACAAACCCAAGAAGGAGCGATCTGCGTGGAAGGATATCGTAGTTGCTATGGTTACCAGTCATGGATGACTTTCTTCTCACGTAACATTCCGTAAAACATTCTAACATACCTAATGAAATCATTGTACCTACATACATAGAAGGAAATACATTTTTTTAGCGAGGAACAAAAAGATAACATAGAAAGCCATCATTGACAAATCATTGTTACATAGTCATGCGTAAAAAGATCATTCACAGTGATCACTCGAATTGACATATTTTTTTTCTTTCCAACGCAAAACTAATCACGAATTAACAATTCAACAAATTGAACTTACTCCAGAGAAAGATACATTCGAGCGAATCACTCGTTAAAAATCTTCGTGCACATTCTCTAAACTCACGTTTTATTTCTCGTTACGTTTCGTTTAGTATATATATATATACATATATATTGACTCTCTTTATTTACTTGATTTCTCATTGGCACGATTGCATGGCATCGCTTAGGTAAGGACGCTCGCGCAATAATACATATACCACCAGATAACGATTTCCCCTCTTAACAAATCTCTCCTAAATAAGTTTAATCCTTATCGAGAAAGTAGCGTACACTTTGTAGATATAGATGCAACAGGTATGATACATTTAAATACCCCGTGATTAAAAAAAAAAAATTGAACATTATTACTATCATTATTGAAGCTTTGTTACATTCATTATTGGCCTCCCCGTCCACTTCAGCAATCATGAAGCGCTCTCATCGATAAAATGGAGAAAACCGGAGAAAACACTAGTTGCGTTCAAATTTTTAGTCGTTCTTCCACATGAATCTCAAGGATTAACGACTACCTAACGAAAACGATGGGGAACGATGCAGAAAACTAAACGAAAATCTATAGCTACAATGTGACCGAAAAAAAAAAAAAATATCTAACACGATAAGGGTTAAAAGCTGTGAGCTATGTGCTCAACCTAACGTTAATCATTGTCCCTGCATCCTGTGGATCGTCGCAGACCTGCAGTCTTCTTTACTTGAAAAAGGTTCGG